CGTATGTACTATATAGATACATGTACGTATACATACATATAAATATATTTGTATCCTGATGTCAATGTAAACAGTAGTTATTTCCGGTCACTTGAAGTATATACACGAAAACTCGAGATTTAAAGTCGAGGGGTTGTTGGTCGCTAGCAAGCATCTTACGTGAATCCGATTATACGTATTGTTCCCTAAACTGGTTCTCACTTTTTTTAAACTCGTTTTCTTTGCGTTCTGTCAACGAAAAACTTCGAATAATAGAAAATTCTCTTCGTTCATATCTTTCCATTTGACTGAGGACACACTTAAGACGTGAACGTAACATATTTGTAAGATGAAAAATGGGTTCATTGTCAATAAAAAACATTATAGCGAGTAACACCTTTCTGCAGTATAGTATTAAATAATATTATATTCATTGAATAACGTTAACATTTATTATACTCAGTAATTAAATCGTTTAAATACTCTGGAGACAGAATAATGAACATTGAGCAGTTGTATACATATAATGCATACTCGACACGTGGTCACCTGAAGGGGTCAACGCTCAACCCCCTCGTCCAGATCCAGATAAAAATCGTCCGATTCGATTGAATTTGTTGCTACGCGAAGGAATTGTGACGAACGCCGGCTGTCGCTTGAGCATATTGCAAGCACCTGTCGTCCAGAAAGTAAGTATGTATCCACCGGTGGATATTCACGACGAAACTGGCAACGGCAGAAGGTTTGTCAGCTGCGGCAGCAGCTGAGGTAACCGATCACCTTCGCCTTGAGATGACGGTACCAGACCACGGGATAGTCTGGCTCACCTCTTGCCTTGCTTCCCGCTTTCAATCCATCGCGCGCATGGACCGTCCACGTTTCACTCTCCAATTTCTTCGTTCGCGTGGATGCCCTCCACGATCCACAGATTTTTCAACCTGCCTCGATCGTTTCATTAACCGCATAGTTTGCTGCGGATCGTATTTCGCAAATAAACAGCTGAACGGCCTCGTTGTTTTCTAGCTGGTATGCGGATCAACGAATAAATCGTGTGGATCTTGTATTAGAGTCAGACCATCTGTCGACCGAGGCATAGCTATAGTATTGGTTTTTATGCTGTTGAACGTTCTAGTTGCGTATTCGTAGTCGCTATGGGATTACAATCGGCAGGTGTGGGATAAAATCTGAAAAGGAAGATGAGTCATGAGAATTAACAAGTACACGAAAAGAGGTCTTAATAAATATACTTACAACACAATTTGGCTGTTATAATTGTCTCAAATAACATAGTATTCTATAATACTTTGTAAACTACGATGCTGTCAATATTTGTAGATGAAGTCATATAACACTGTTATAATACCACTTGATGAAATTCTCGCGAAATGACCGAGAGTAAACTATAATATTAAAGTTTATGGAAAGCATAGAAATATGTTACCTCGTTCAAGTAACACATGAATTACGTTACGACGTTACGTGCACGATACGAAAGTTATGGCTCGTGGCAGCGTTGAATTTCCGAAACACCTCTTCAAAAATCCAGAATTTTTTATCTCCATTTTTTGTGAATTTGTGGAACGTGCAGGTTGGTTTCAAGTTTCGTGTTCATCCACACGAAAACTTTTCAATACGGTTCGAAGCACATCGAATATTTTGTATACTGAGTAATTTAATATTTAACAGCCAGTATAATATAGGATGTACTCGAATGACAACTTACCCGATAATTCATTAATTAGAAGCATCGCGGAGAACACTTGACAAATTTTACAAGGAAAATGATAAAGCTCAAAATTATAAAAAATATAACAATGTTAAGTATTTGTTGCTACGGAACGCGAAAAATTATTTCGTGGAAGAGAAAGGATTGGCAGACCGCGACGAAGCTCGTGAAAAAAAAGATGATAAGCCTCAGGATTAAAAATTATTGGTAAATAATTATTGAGCTGTTAACGAAGCTATGTATAAAACAATAATTGTAACGTTTTTAATTGTTATTAAAAAAGTTCTTACTCTTGTAAATATTTATCACACAATATTACTTAGGAAAAATATAGAATATAAAGAAAGGATTAATAATATTTTGGTTGTTTGAAATAATTTACGTATTTGTTATCATATACACAATCAATAGAAAGTTAGGTAAAGGTAATACGTATTTATAAGAGAAGAGAAAGGAAGCTGTTAAAAAGAAAATTTCTAAAGATCTGAACCGTCCTGCTGCAGACCGAACAGTTCCCATACATAAATAACGTCTCGCCTACACCCACTCGCATTATCTTCCACTGTACCATCGTAGTATATCAACTACCCATTATCTATGCGATTCGAGACGTTGCATTACTGTTACTTCATCTCGTTTCGCGATATCGACACCGGATCTATCTATGTACTTAAATATTGCTTGTATATAATTGTGCGATCAATTTCTAAATCAATTTGGTTTCAAGTTTCAACCAAAAATTACTTCATATAAGACGTTCCTGTTACTTTTTGTACTAAGTACACTTTTATCCAATCATCTTTTACATGCATATATCTATTATGTATAATAGGATATATGAATAAAAAGATATATAGATAAATGTAAAATAACTAAGTTTTGTAATTTTATCGCAATTATCATTACACAATCCGCTTCTATATTTTTAAAAGAGAAAATTCTGTAAGATTGAATTAGAAAAATGGAAGAACACATGTATATTCATTCATATATTAACAAAAAATTTAGTAATAAACAAGACCACGAGCAGAAATATTTACAGTATTTATACCAGTCCTGCATCGATTGGAGACAGATAAAACGCGAACAGCGACTCCATCTACTGAACATCATTCAAGAAACGATCGTCGATACGGAATAAGATAAACGAACCGGACGAAAGAAGACGAACTTGGACCTTTTTCCCTCAACCGGACGCACGGTACCGTAAACGATCGCATGAATTAACATTTTGATTCCGGGAGTCGCTGGGTCTTTTTAATTTATAATTAAACCCCTTGAGCTAATCGGAGTCGAGCACGGACCGGGCCAGTGGCTACAGCGTCGAATAATTAATGATCCTTCACATTGCGAGCTCGTGTATTGAACCTAATTTGCTACGTACGGAAGGTTCCTTGGGTTACAACTATTACTTGACCATTATTATCCATCGCGATCTCAATTTGTGATTCGAATGCATCGCAAATTTCGGAAACAAGCATTTTTAATGTAAGAACAAGTAGAAGAATCTATGTTATGAAATTACTGATTTTAAACAAACATTGTACACTGCATCAAGCGAAGCGTATTTAAATATTCAAACGTGAAAGTGTCGCTACAATCGTAGTATTCGAGAAAGTCACTCCGAACGAGCATGCGCAATCAGACAGAAGCAGACGGAATTAAAATATGTATATAGTGCAATTGCGTGTAATGTGTAAGTAAGGTAACAGTTAAACTGCCAAAAATATATCAAAATATATGTAGTAAACGTTTCTATTTGAGATTGACAACTTATTTGTAATATCAAGGAATAATTTATTGTGAAGCAAACGTCCAATATGACGACGGACGAAACAAATCCTGCCCAGTGGGCTCTCGATCTTCTCGAACCAACCCGTGTTGATAGAACAGATACGATTTTCAGATATTATTTAATACCGCTTCTGGCAGCCACTAACGTAGTCGCAGTCCGAGCCAGAAATGTATTTATGAAATTCCCAGCTAATCTCAGTGAGTACATTAAACTGATTTTTATCATACTTTATAACTAACCTAACAGCAGCTATTCTATTTGAAGATATTCTATTACTTTTTGGACCATAATCTAATTTAATATAGAATTTATTTATGTATTATTATTGTATTTATGTAAAGAAATAACTATTATTTCATAAAATATCCAAATCTTTTTTTGTACTGTATTGTTAATATGAACATGATACAAACTATATTGTAAATATTTAATTATTAGATCCTCACATACAATTGGCTTGTGGTGTGGCTGGTGGTTTGGCTGGATATGTAATGCACTATGTAAGTGATGTATCGCATGCAAGACAAGATGCAGTAATAAGAGATTATATAATACGCCATCCAGAACGTTTTCCTCCACCAGGTGAGTCAATAAACGGTACACGTTCTTAACTCAAGATTTATATTAAATTGTTCATAAAAATTGATTGATATTTCAGAAAATAGAAAAATTTCAGATATTTTCCAACCATGGACACCATTGCGTTAAACAATTAAACTGCCTTCTTGAGATAATGTAATAAGTATGTCAGTAGTAAATATAAATATTAAAATAAATAAGTTTAAAAAACAAGAACTTTATGCAAAATAAGTCATCCTGTAAGTAGTACTATAATCATACATCATATGAGTGGGATAGGTTTTTCACTAATGATAAGTAATTATACATAATACAGAACTATGGAGTATATACATATATAGTAATGAAATGACAAACGAGAAAGCTATTGTTGGTTACAGAAAAATCAATAAAATAACTGATGATACAAATAGTTATGTAGTCCAAAAATATTTTAATTGATAATTTCGTTACATGTATAGTTTATTGCATAAGTACATTTTCTCATTCATTATTATTCCTCTTTTTTTTTAAATTGTTCATTCCTATGAATACCTAATATATATTATCTTGGAGCTGGATTTGAGGTGCAGAATTTTAAATTTATTATACATGTTACTTATATTAACAACAACAAACGAAAATTGATTAAATTACGTCTAATTTTAGTTTTAGGATTTTTATTTTCTTTCAGGATTGTAATTATCGTTGTATAATCCAGTTCCTTTCGCATCTCCTAACCAGGGATACTTATTAGGACATTCTCTGCATGTTTCCAAGTACCTGCGAACACATCATTTTTCATTTCGTATTATTTCATATATCATATTATACAACACTTTTTATGTGACGTACACACCTTGTTGTGGTGAAATTCGATTCTGGCGGTTTGAAATCTAAAGCGCATTTGTTTGCATTATTGCATGGTGGTCCAGGAATATTTTCTTTCTTCTTACACGACCACCCTTCGAAATTGTTCAGAGCTTTTATCGGTTTCGGATCTGTTATCCATGTTAGCGCTTGCGTGGCTGTCACGAAGTATACGTCAGGCCTGTAAATGTAATTTCATCGATTAAGAGAATTCCTCTAAATCTTATTAATTCTTCGATAACTCGTAATTACAATGTCACTGCCCAATCGAGGAACTTGGATAAACCGCGTTCAAGTTCCTTTATTTGAAACCAGTTGGTGTGGAATGGCATCATGTATGGTGCTCTGTTTTGTTCGTAGTAACGATTAAAATCTTCTTGCAACCATTCGAAAACTTCTTCAGGATCGTGATTATGCAGAACACATTGATCCAAATAAGGGCAATGTCCTCCATCGTAACTTTCTACGTAATGCGCGTTCAACGGTAATTCCCAAACTCCTAAAAATCATTAAGCAAAATTAAAAATTTATGCTAATTGTTAACAATTTTCACGAAAAATCTATTGTTATTACCTGGGAATGATTTAGTGGGGCAGGTGCCTGCTTTACACTCATGTGGAATTTTGTAATCGAGGGTGTACGGCCATATGGGTACTTTCAGAGGAGAAATACCGATACTGCTGTCATATATGTATCCAAAGTCTTCTAGCACTTTGTACTGGGTGTTCCGTCCCGGTTTTAAATACGGCCCTCTCATGCCCACGATTTCACTCGTTGAAATGTTGCTGAAGTGTTTGAGTATCTCCCGCATTCCTATCATTTCTCCAACCCACTCTTCGTATCCTTTATCTTCCAATCCCTTTTGCAGTCTGGTGAATCAAGTGTAATGTTCAATTTTTGTACAGTAAAAGAAATTCAGAATTACAGTAAAGCATTCATAATTGCATAAATTAATTTTAATACTCACGATATGGTTTCGGTGGCAATTTCGTGTCCGTCATGCGCCAAGCTCTGAACCATATTATAATTGCAATACTCATGAGAAATAAAAAATGTCCCCTTCAGAGGACAATTGTTCGGATTCAATCTGTCAGTCGCGAATATTTTTTGATAGTGGTCAAAATTGTTGTGGTTTATTGCTCCATCGAACGTCATTAATATCATTTGCGGTGTCTGAAATGATAGGAAATCGTGTAAAATGTATTCTTAACAACAATCTTTAATAATGACAGAAGAAATTATCCACCTCCTCTGGGTTCAGACCACCAGGAATTATTGTACCGTCTCTTGAGCAAAAACAGTATGGTAATTGGCAGTTTGCTGAATCGCACTTCTCTGCCAAATCTGTTGGCGGTTCGGTAATTGGAGCTGGGGCTAAATACATTAATATAATTATTTAAAAGAAAAAACTGGTAGTTCATTTTTTTATAATGTTAATCAATTTGTAAGTAGGTGTTTAATATCGTAAAACAGAAAAGGAGATACTAAAAAAAAGAAAATATTGAACACAAAGATTATATGAGAGTTATACTCACTCGTGGGAATGGGCCCACAACGAGCTTCGTTCTTGAAAGTGCAAAATTTGCTAATATCATCGAAATGTAATCCAGATGGACACCTGTTCAGATACGGATATCCATCAACGCACTGTTGAAATTGTATATAAAAGAATATTTATTCAAACTCGTTTGTCATATATTGCAAAAGTCGATAGCAATTGTGAAGCGTATTTACCTGGTAGAATCTCCTGCATGTCGCCGGGTCCGCAAAATTGCCATTACCTTGACCTTCGGGACACCTAAATTCCTCGTCTTTTTTTTCATCCTCTTTCTTGGAATTTTTCTGCCCGGAAACTGCAAATTCCATTGCATTCGGTTATGAATAAAGAACAAACGATAATTAATTAAGAAAATTAATTAAGAGAAAAATAAAAATGGAACTGTTTCTTCTTAAATTTGAATTACAACTTAAATAGTTTTGAAGTACAATGATGCATTTGTATATTCTACTTAATCATTAACTTCATATTTTTAGAAACTTTCAATGATATCTGGATAATAAAATTTGGTAAATTATATTTCGTCAGCATATTCAGAGAAAAAGCCAAAAAGGAAAAAAAACTTAAGAAATGAAAGCGTATTGGGCGTAAGTATATAACTTTCACACGGACCAATGGCAAGATCAAGGACCAGCATTGACGCACTCACGTTGGGAACTTCATGGTTTAATATCCATTAATTTATATATGATCAAGAAAGAAATATCAAGGAATTTCGGCTTCTAAATATAAACTAAAGAACACGATTGGAATTATTCAATTACGAGGAAGATAGTCGTTACAACATTTTGATTAATTGTAGGGAAATCGTGTAAGCTATGCAACAAATGTTTTTTGGAAAAGGTTGTTACGTATGGTCGGACATTTAACTGGAAGGGAGAAGATTCAGATTGAAACGCGTTGAAATCTTGTGCAGATGGACTACCAAGAGAAAGTGGTATCCCAGGAAGACACTTCTCTACGATCTTATAGCTAGTGTAAATACGAACCACGCATTACGTCGTTCGTTTTAGAAATAATTTTAATATAACAACGACTATCTTTCATCATCACAGAATTGATATCTTAATAGCATTTCTGAGCAATTAGATAATGTTCTATATTTAAAAACAGGAATAAAGGAAGTAATTTTCATGCTTTTGGGAAAGAAACTCTTATTTGAAGAATTATGATTGAATTTAATTAAATAAGTCTCATGTAAAATGTATTTATATAAAAATTTTATTGAAAATTGGAATGAAATTAAATATATGAATGAATGAATTCTATGCAAGCTCATTGAAGATCCCAGATCCCTGTAAAAATGTGATAAAACGAACGGCTCTTATGCAGATTCCAAAAAAGATCGGCATCGCGGCAAAGTGGAAAGTGAAGGTACTGCTCTGGCAATGACGTTGCGGTAAATCGTTCAGGTGCAACATTTCCATCGGCCGTGGTGCATACACGCATGCTCGTACGGTACACCATATACGTAAACGACCAAACTTATGTAAACGGCAGTGAAACCACCGACCAACCGGGAACCCAATTTACAACGGCGCTTCTCCCTGATGTCTGCGTGCCGGCTGACTCGGTTCGCTCGTTGTTTCCTTCCTCCGACTTTTTACCTTTTTTCTATCTGTGTCAACTTTATTTACGACAGCTAGACACGCGGCAATGCCGATGGTACTTTCAGATCTTGGAAATCTTACTTAAATACCTCGTTTCGAGATTTCTCAATGATTTTCAATTTTTCTCCGGGAGAGTAAATATTTATTATTAGGATTTTCCTTCACATTCCAATTTCAATAATATAATAGAATTTTTTAAAAATATAATCTGTCCGTGCAATCTATTTTTTTACATTAATTAATATAGATAATTCTACTTGTTAAAGTTGAATATTTGTTTCAATATACAACGTATTAGTAATGACGTGATGTCTCCATTTCGCAATGGGTCAAGGAAAATCCTTGAATTCCATGGGAGAGTTGAACGTCGGATTCGTAACGTTAAATAACGTTAACGGTACAGCGCAATGCATTCGTGTTTTTCAATTGATACTAATTTGCATGCATCGATTGTTTCTTTAAATAATCTTAAACACAAGTATTGCATTTGTCTGTTATCAGAATACTCCCAGTAGAAATGCAAATTAGCTAGAGAATGTCCACGGAAGGTCGTTTTCTCATTGCACCCACGTTTGCGATAAATCTGAACTGCTGTACTAATCAACTACTTCAACTATTACTTTATTTCGAGATTCATTGCGAAGATATAAAAACTGGGAAAACAATTTTTGTCAATTTTTTCTTCACGAATAACGAAGTTTGATAACTACAGAATATTTGTCTTCAATACAAATATTTCTTCTTTTTTGGAATATGTATACATATGATGAGCTAGGAATGTTAATACAAGTCAATATAATACTATCTTTGATAAAATAGTGTCCTGCATTTTGAGATTCCTTTAAAATTACAAAACTGTCTCACAATAAAAAATGAAATAGGAATTCAATCTTGCTGCTCTTAAAAATTAGAATCCGATTGAACATAAATTCTTCTGTATATTTGACGTGCATCAGCATTAACCGATTCTTAACATCTCTCCAAAGTTTTAGCAGCTGTGTTTCCTACCTGCAACGACGATGAACGCGACCAGGCATAGCAGCAGTCGACTTCTTCTTGGCGTCATCCTTTGAAATATCGTGGGTTCACTTTCCTTCTTCGAAACGTCGTTCGATCAACGACACTGACAAACCACTGGACACTTGAGAATTCTTTTCGGCGCGCGAACGCGACGACGTTTCAAGAAACAGGTGTGACGGCACTGCCTGTGTCCAGGATACGCGAGCAATGCCGTCTGCCACGGGTTATGGGTGTCGGGAACGGGAAACCGGACGGTAGGAACCGTTCTTAGCTCATTGGCTGACCACTTTCTACCATCCGTCCCGGTCGCCCGAGAAATCTTCGCTTTTATTCTGTCTGGCTTATGTTAGAGTGGCCACCGGTTCCGCATAATGTTATGTTCATCAAGAGTCCGGATTTTTGATGATTTGCTGGTATTTCTAGAGTCGAATTCCTCTGCTCGATGAAAGTAAGATAATATAATACTGGATCATTCGATAGATCTGTGACATTTCCCTTTCTTCATCTGGACTGTTTATTACGAAAACAGATGCAAGTCCATTTTTTCTTATTATATGTTTGCATAATCAATGATTATGCGTTCTCATTTACTAAAGTATTTTGAACTTATCAAAACATATGGATACTGTACAATATAAACTGAATTATCTATAAATGATCCATATTATAAGAGATGAAGATGTTCATGTTTAACTTATTTATTTTATGAACACATAAAGGAAGAGACGTTTAAATATTCAGAGTTCGATCTTGGTTATTTGCGGCCCCCTCTTCTTTGTCGATTTCTTTTTCTTTGTCTTCTCTTTGTCTCCTTTCTGAGACTCGGTCGATTGCCAATAAGGATTGAAGTATCCCTGCTCGCGTTTTATGACGTTCAGTTCTTGGGACGCCAGATGAATTTTGTCGAACGTGTCCTTGTCCAACAAGTGTCTTGTCCGATACGTGAAATTTAAAGACCAGCTTATGACTGGATTCCATTTTTGTTGTGTTCGAAGTATGCGATGAGTGATATGAGGAAAGTGAAGAAGAATGTCTCCGAACAAAGCCGTATTTTCTAAAGTAGTAGATATCGCTGAAAAGAAGATAATTTTAGTACATTATTTCATTTTGTAATTGAAGCGATGCAGAGTGAGAAAATTACCGCTTTGTATGGTAACATTTTGTGGCAAAGATCTGTTAGTCGGATCGAAACCGACATTTTCAATCATTTCTTTGCTCGACTGGATCACGTCTATCATCTTCTCGCCGAGAACCATGATCATTTTGTACAAACGCTCATAGCTGTCTATTTTCTGAAGACGTTTGATGGCCTCCGTGTGCTCCTTACGTTGATTACCAAACGTTTTTTTAACTATCGTAACTTAAGTTAAGATTCCAGTGTTAAAAAATAAAAATAAAATAGGTGCTATTTAACTTTCAAGCAGTGTCTTTGGTAATACACGATGTTAATTTATCTTTCATTATATACATCTCTATACACGCAACAATATAAATAAATAAAATTTCATGCAATTCAAGCATCTATAAAAAAGGATTAGATATTTCGAGGATACATAATTCTTCGTAGACTTTTGGGTTCGATGAACCGTTTTCTGATTTCGCGCCAACCTTTTGAGCTCCTGCGCTCGGAGAGACGTGCTGTGCATGCGCGATGCATGTCAACACTGACACGACTGCAATACAAATAAGAACGCGTGGCATCTTGCCGTACGACAAACCGCTTGAAATACAAAGCAACGAGTCGACAAAAATGTCGAGGTAAGGAATGCTGTGACGTGTCGGTAATTATTATACTTTTCCGGCGGGTTCGAATACTTTTAGTCGGTATTTAACGAGCAGCAAAGGCCGCAAGTTTGCGATCGCTATAGAACGACACTTCTGCCATCTATTAACTTCCATCCTCCGAATGTGTCAACGTTAATGTTGATTATCCCAGAGAAATAATTAAAGAACTCGCAATTACCTCATTCAATTATGTGACAATAGTATAAAGACACAATGAGTGTATGTGCTTTTAGAGTATTTTGTTAACATCGTCCGCTAAAGGGTGTTTTAAATCTTGTTAAATAAGTTCTCCACACACACGGACAACAACACATTTAATCTGTTGATAATTGAATAAAAGAAGATTTGATACGTGCAACATGTATATGGTGTAATGATCTGATTTTACATGACAATACGTTCCTGTTTAACGTCCAAGTAATATATTTAATGACCTCGTGATTCGAGTTTAATATCGGCTACAAACATGGCAGCGACAGATGATACGAATCTTGATGTAAGTGTTATGATGCTTTTCAGTAAATACTCCATGCTAAGTTGCATTTGTTACTAATAACTTTATAAAGTTCTTTGCACTATACAGAAACTTTTCTTTAATCAATTTGTTATTTTCAAGTTCAAAGTTACAATGGAGTACCCAGACTCTCAAAATATTGAAGGAGAGCTGACAGTAGGAAGTAAACAGAAATCAAATCTTGGTGAACCTGAATTCAATACATTGGATGAACCAATTAGAGATACAATTGTACGGTTACTGAATTATCATTTTTGAAAAATATTCCTTCATATACTATTCTCGATTATCTTATACTTGTTTATATTACAGCTAAGGGATGTCCGCGCAGTAGGCAAAAAGTTTTCTTATGTTTTATATCCCAAGGAGAAGAAAAGCTTATTGAAAGAATGTAAGTTCGTAGAATATAGATGATAATATCAGAAATCATTTATATGGATTTGTATTAATAAGAACCTATAATTCCAGGGGATCTTTGGGGACCATTAGTATTATGTACATTCATGGCAATGTATGTTTAGCATTTTATAGAATATTTCAAATATTAAATATTCTATGAACTTTGTTTGATTGTTTTAGGATACTACAAGGTTCTTCTGATAGAATAAATAATTTTAATGATGGGGGACCAGAATTTGCAGAAGTTTTTGTAATTGTCTGGATTGGGTCTATGGTTGTCACATTAAACTCCAAATTATTAGGTGGCAATATGTAAGTAGTCACAACATTTGAAAAGGATTAAGCGTTTGAAGCTGTATTTGAAGATAATTTTAACGTGTTGCAGATCCTTCTTTCAAAGCATTTGCGTCCTAGGCTACTGCTTACTACCAACTGCCATTGCTCTTATTTTGTGCAGAATCATATTAATGGCAGAACAGACAACTTTCCTATTTATTCTAAGATTTATCACCACTAAGATTGGCTTCATATGGGCAATATACGGTGAGTAGAATTTCAGTTTTTACGTAAATAGTTCCTAAATTTGATTATAAATGTGATTTGAACATATTTTAGCATCAATGGCATTTCTCGGTGACAGCCAGCCGTTAGGAAGAAAAGCTTTAGCCATGTACCCAATATTTTTGTTCTACTTTGTAATTTCATGGCTAGTTATATCTCATACTACGTGAAGAATAAAATCTAAGGTAATTATAATAATAAGACTGTACATTGTTCCACACTTGTGCACAAAAAAAAAAGAAAGGCGAGTACGAAGCATTGCTTTGTATAATAACTTTTAAAAACGGTCAAATTTAACCGTATTTAACATCATTTGTAGATAAAACCTATTACTATAGATTTGTATGTTATTTATTATTACACTAAGAAGTTACAAGCCATAAGTTTTTGTCAATTAATATCTATCTAAATATCAAACTCGTTAATATAAACATAAAGTAACAGATAATGCTTAAGTAAATTATTACCAGATTATTATATATTTATACACAAGCTTGATAAAAAGAAAGCAAGAGGATGAAGAAGTAATTTTTATTTCTCTCGTTTGAAATTATTATGCAATATGTATGATGTACGGTTTGAAGGGATATAACAATTTTTTAATTCAGCATTCCTATGTATTCCAAAATATCCATTTATTTGTTAGATTCCAATGATATTAAGCAAATAGTATAAGGCCGTATGATTTGTACCTTTTGCACATACTTATGTATATAACGTTAGTTATAACATTGAAATCAAATAGTCAATAAAATAGTGCATTTTAAAAAATTCCTTTCTCAGGACATTCACATGTGCGAGAAATATCTTTCCAATTTCTTTAAAAGAGTTTTGCTATCCCAATGATTGGGATGTACACTCAAAGATTTTTTCACAGCGATGTAACTCGTCTGGAGATCTCCAACCTACGAAAGTATTCATACAATATTAAGAAAAAGGGAAGTAAATTATCATTGACATTACCTCATAAGCTAAATGAGCACTGTTGAAATGTGGTTCGTAAATGAAGTTAGCAATATTCGCGGCAGCGTGAAAGTACGTTCTGGCCGCTGTTACATTACCGTTTCGTATTTGAATAACGCCGAGATTATTATATGCCAAGGCGTGTCTGTTATCGTTAACGATAGCTAGTTTTAAACAGTCTTCCGCCATCATTACGTCACCTACAGTCTGAAATATTTGCAATTATGCTTCTATAATTCTTTTATGTTATTAATTTCTAATTTAAATATTGTCAAAGCTATAATAGTTTTTATTTTATCAATGAAATAAAACGTTAGCAAAGAACCGTTTGTACATATACATACAAGAGCAATGTGAGAAATATTGTACCACACATCCGCCATAGTTTCATCAGTAGAAAGATTAATTGCTCTTTCAAAACAAGATATAACGTGGTCGTACTGTTGAGCGTAAAAACAGCATAATCCAAGATTATTGAACAGTTCGGCATTGTACACGCCCATTTGTAATAATCGCCTATTGGAATGAATGAAGTAAATTTCCAATCACCTTAAACTACTTACATGTACGTATGTTTTATAAAATAATCAACAGTATTATTTATCAGCGTTTTTAAAACTAAATTTATGCATAACTTGCATTCACCTGTAATAACGCAAAGCTAACTCCGATTGATCGTTATAAAAATGATGCATCCCAATACTGGCTATCGCTTCCGTGTGAGAAGCGTCTTCGTGAGCAATAAGTTTATAATATTTTAACGACATACTGGTATTATTCAAATCGTCAAATATACGACCCATCTCGGTTAAGATGTTCACATCATTGGGAAAATACTCCAGGCCCCTTTTACACGTGTCCAACGCGGCTAGCGGTTGATCAAGTCGGATGTAAACTCTAATCAATCTCAAGATCACCTCGATGGTCTTGGAATCTTTTAACGCCGATTTAAATTGTTGCTCCGCGTCTCGTACTAATCCCAAACTATAATAACATTTTCCAAGCTGCACTTTCCACCACCAGTCCTTGTACTGGCAAACTTGCGTCGCTTGCACCGCTAGATCCAGTGCCTATAATTTATCAGATCTGGGATTGTCTAATAATGATGAATTACCAATTATCAAAATCAGTTTTTGTAAAAACAGATTCATAGATGCACGTGTGCAACCCTTACGTATCTCACGTCGTGTTCGTGGTAGTATATGTACTCGAACAGTGGTTTAGCTATACTCGATTGACTAGCATATTTGGAGATATTTAATCGCGATAGTTGAATGAATGGCCCTCCGGGCTCTGTTAACATGGATGCTGTACCTAATCTATGTAATGCAGGTGTATTAAGTTTGAACAACCAAATAAAGTAAAAAACCGGTTACATTAAAAATATTTAAAAGCTATTATTTTATTACCTCACGGTGCGACTGGCACTTGCAGTAATAGGTCTAGCAGTCATGGCAGTTCTGGGTGTCCTCAAAGTTTGCTCAATTGATTGAGATATAGCAGACTGCGTGGCTGGTCTAACAACACCTGTGAGTGGCCTGCCTACAGATTAGTATCAATATTTTTAGTTTCAACTACTTCTATGAACTGAGAATTGTTTTTAAGAGAAAAAAACCTGATTGCGTTCTGGGCCGAAGATGCTGCCCCGTGTAAGAGGTGCCAGGATTTTTCAATGACGTCCCTGGCCTGGGCATAGAAGAGATTGTGTAATTGTCTAATAAACTTTCAGCAATTCCTTCCTCTTCTCCTTCTATATCGTCCACGTACACTTGTAAAGTCAAAGCACGCATTTTTAATACCCATACAGCCTAAAAGAGAGAATATTGTATTTTTCAAGGACAGATTGGTGATTTAATACCTTCCGTATAGTATATAATAAAATACCAATGTGATCGTACTTGATCGAGAGGATTTTTCCTTAATAAATTTGTACATATCGCCGCGCACTCCTCGTACTTCCCGCGACTAAACAGACTTAAAGCTTTAAATAATTCCATGGTTTAATAAAAATTAATTGTCGACGATTCAATGAGTTGTACAGAAATAATGCAATACCTTCTTCACTATACTATTGCGTCTATTGATCACTTTGCTCATAGCCCCTGCATATATACTAAGTGTGTAACAATATATTCTTCGTTTAGATTTCACGCATTGATCTCTATGGAATACTGGACTGGCATGGTTGACTTATTACAAAAATTAGTTTAACAGTCATCGATTTAAATATCGATGATTAAGTTGACTTAAATTCATCCAGTATTCTATAGAAATCAATGACTTTACGCAAACACTTGTAGAATTTGTATAGAAAACTGAACTTTGTTATAAAAGTAACAAGACACTATCTCGTAACTTCAATCAATTTTCCATTTGTCAAAATTTGACAACACCGTTTATCTACCTGTTTTTCCCGTTATTTTTTATTTATATTATATCCAATTTAAACGTGACATTCTCTTTAACGTTAGACTTTATCCGTGCGATAAAAATGGATGATCCTGACAATACTGGAAACAAGTTGGTTTCCAAAATACTCAATAAAATTTCATCGATTTATATTCGCTTTCCTTTTCTCAGAATCCAAGAGGCTTTCGACAAATTTTTCAAAATGCTCAGTATTGAAGAGCAATGCACGGAAGAATCTCTGATGCGTCTGCACGAAGCCTTTCTAGTAGACAATATTTTTAAGAATGACTATAGAAATTACCAGTCTATTTAATAAAATTATTTTTACATGGTGCTATCAACGTGTAGACCACGCCAAACATGGAAATGGGTAGACCCGAATTGTACGATGCTTTTAAAAATGTACTGAATATCAGCATGCCTCAGGACGAGTTTGATGTCCTGTTCACAAAAGTAAAAGCAGAGAATTTAATCTTCATTTCAGATCTTGATTTTCATACAATATCTTTATCAATTTGATGATCTTAGATGGATTTTAAAAGAGATGATAAGATAACTTGGCATGAGTTCGTTTCTTATTTATTACTGGAGTTTCAAAGAAAAGACACAGCCTTGCAATGGCAAATATTAAGACTACCAATAACTGGTGCTCCTCAACTTTTGAACTCCCATCACCGCACTGCTATACATAAAATCTTGTTCTGCCCCGATGTTTTACCGGTATTATAGCAATGTTTTTAATGCAAATATAATTAAATAATTAACTACTAGTTTACAGAAGTGAATGTTATTTTTAATTGCAGAAT